ATATATATATATATATATATATATATATATCATGCCAATCTACAAATAGATGACACTATTGTAAAGTTACTTACAGGAATCAAAAAAAGATCACTATTTTGGCTACAATTTGTCAGATTTTCCCCTTGGTAGTCAGGGATAGACTTACAGGTATAATGAACAAGCAAACTGAGTTACCTATCTTCAACACTGGGAGCTTGAACCCTTTATATCAGTTTTCAACATCAACACTATCTAGGATTAGATGACTGCTGAGGTGAGTCTATGAACCTTTGGGAATGAAACCATGTGATAAGAGCCTGAGGTAGGGCTTAGGATAAGGGCTTGGGACAGAGAGTATAACTCAAATAATCACTGCTTCCTTCAAATTTTGACTAAGCAAAATTACTCCTACTTATATATCATAGAACTTTCTACAAGCTTCTGTAACTTTAATTTTTTTTTTACTAATAAAATCATGGTAGTTCCGATATTTACATTTCAAGCCTATCCTTGCAACCATTTCAAGCAACTACCAGAATATGTAAAGGAGTAGAGTTATCTCATGAGAGATGCAGCAAAAGGAGTTATTGCTACTTCAGCTCTTAGGACAGAAAAAAAAAAAACCCACATTATTGTGGATGGTTACTTTTTTTTATTAAAGATTTATTTCTTTATTCATACAGGCCAGAGATGCGGAGGGTGAGAGGATTCACGAGGGACAGAGTGGGGAGCAGAACAGGCAAATCGACGAAGTACATTGCTGAGGGAAGCAGCGGGCTGGTCAGGAGAGGTCTGCCATGCCATGTGGATCTCCTCTGGGGCAGGCGGGGACCGAACTCATGCGGAAGTGGCTTAAGCTTCTTAGTGCAGTGCTTTCACCCGCTGTGCCACCAGGGAGGGCCTGTGGATAGTTACATTTTTAACAATCACAATTGTGAAAAAGCCCTTCTGTCTAGAGTCAAAATCATGATGCCTTCACTGTATCCTGGCTCTGTCTGCCGAAAGCCAAATAAAATAACATCTATCCTCTGTTACACATGAAACTTTTCTAATATCTGTAAATGGCAGTCCTGTTCATTTTTAAAACATCCTATACACAGGTTAAATATTAATTCCTAATATGATATGGTACATATTCTCTCCTTTCTTTTGGATCAGAATAGCATGATCTTGATTAAATTATGCTTTTTTGGGCCCTCCCTGGTGGTGCAATGGGTTAAAGCACAGCACTATGAAGTTACTGCAGCCACTACAAAACGAGTTTGACCCCTGGCCAGGGAGGTGACACACATGGTGTGGCAGATCTCTCCTGTCTTGCCTGCTGCTCCCCTCAGCAGTGTATTTCCGTACCTCTGCCTGTTCTGCTCCCCACTCTGACTCTGGTGAATCCTCTTACCCCCCCGCACCTCTGGCCTGTACCCCAGGTCTGTATGCACAAATAAATAAATCTTTTTAAAAGTTATACTTTTTTGTGACATGGATAGATCTTGAGGTTATTTTGCTAAACAAAATGAGTGGGAACATGAAAGCTAAATACCAGGTGGTATCACTCATATGTGGAATATGAATAAACAAAGAAAATTAATTGATCAAATGCAACAATAACAATTCTTAGTCTGAGAAAAATAGTCTGAGGGGAAGGATATTGAGCAATGAACTAGCAGTTGGTAAGTGCAGTCCACTGATAGCCTCATCTGGTCAGCACAGCCATCAAATAGTTAACATTCATTGAATGCGCATTTTGGACAAGATGCCTTTTATACGCAGTCTTAATCAATCTTCATAGAAATCTTATACAAAAATAAAGCATGAACAGTATTTTACAGAAGGAGAAACAGAGACCCTAAGAAAGGCAAGGCTTAATTCCTCTAGGAAGTCTTCCCTAACTTTTTCAAACAACAGGTCACTGGTGCAGCTTATTATTCATAGTTTTGATCATTTTCTTTAGAGATAGTGAACTTAACACACTTAGCATACTGTGGTAGCTAGCTTTTCCCGAGGTCTATTTTGCTCTTAACAACTCAAAAATTCATTCTCACTTCTTCCTTCCTCCATAATATAGTATTGTTAAAATGTCTTGAGCACATTAAGAATCCAATAAATGTTTGCTGAATGAATGACTGAAGTACATGATGAGTGGATGAATGGGGGTGGGGGGGGATATCTCATTCAGAAGAAAGTAATGAGTATCAGGGGGATTAAAATGTAACCGTGATATTTGACTTGACCACCAGGTGTCATAAGCATACCAACTTTCAATTTTTTTTTTAATATTTAACACAATTTATTTTAAAATTTTATTAAGGGAAAAAAAATCACACTAAAGTGAGAACAACAGTATCCTTGTAACATCAAGAAGAAGAATTAAAGTTGTTTCGTTTGTTTTTTTTTCAACCTCCATACTTCCTCATAAAGTTCTCTGAAAAATAGTTTGGTTTCTAAATGCGTCATAGATTTGTAGACTATTATAAATATTAGAGGCCACCATGCTCTTCTTCTCCTGCTACATTTTATATATAAAGAAACCAGGCTAAAACCAGAGGACTAAACTTTCTAAATTCACATAGGAAATTAGCTGCAAAGGACAAATCAATATCTCTTGCCTCTTACAATAGAGCTTTTTTTTTTCTTTTTTTCAATTTTCCAGGAACTTCTAAAAAGATTATGACTGTTTTCAGGGTAGGCATGGTTGTGTGACATACATATGAAGAAATGTGAACCTATGCCCCCCAATAATATATAATGTTGTAAGCCCTTGTTGATTCAAAAAAGTATACTTAAAAAAAGAGAGAGAATGCTTCTGTAATTATCTAATAATAATACAAATTTTCAGAGATAAACAACTGCCAGATTTTAGAACATTACTCTTGAGAGTGAACTGTTATAACAAGAAGGATTAGTTATGTCCAAATATCCTAGCACAAATACAGTTTTGTTTTGTTTTTTTAAAGCAGAATAGGTATTTCTATTCTCTAGTAAGGTCATGCTTAAAATCTCAGGTTAGATTGTTTTCAAACTTTCATTATTTCTTCACATAAATAGAGTTCCACATTATGATATAGAGATAAGCAAAAGCAAAACAAAAAATATATATCTATAACCAATATTTCCATTGCTAACACCTTGTTGTTTAGCCGTTTTTTCAATTTGTATAGATCTATAAATGAATATATGTATGGGCATTTTAACCAAATTTTATGCAAGTGTGCATGTTTTCTTATAATTATTGCTTATATTAATCATAGTTATTATAAATACAGTCTTATCAAAAAATAGACAACTAAATAATCATTTAAAGGATACTTAAAATTCTACCAGAATAATGTAGCACAATTTATTTAACAAGTAGATATTGAAACAGATTCACATTTTTACATATAAAAACAATACCTTGATAAAAGTTCTTGTATATCCATCTTGTATATTCACTTCAGCAACTATTTTCTTTGAATAAACTCTTAAAAACGAATTTTTAGGCTTTTGATGTATACCAAATTATCCTACAAGAAAACATTTTAATGTGAAATCTTGAAGTTAATGTTCTTTCCCATAACATCACAAAATCAAATCTCTTTTCAAGTTAATAAAATTATTTTTAGCTTGAAAAAGTATGGTATAAAGAATTCTGTCTTGTTTGTTAAGGCCTCCCTCAAAGTAACTTTGTATTCCTAGATACAAATCACCCCAGATAAAATTTATTACCACCGCTTTCACACATGATTCCCAAACTCCAATTTACCTCACAATCATATGAAGGGCTGTCCCATACACAATTTCTGACTGGTAGGATCCCCAAATTTGCATTTCCTATAAGTTCTCATATGATACAGATATCACATATTGAAAACCACTGTGCTAACAGAATGTTTAGACCAACAAGGATTGCTTTTCTGAGGAGCCAATATATTATCTCAGGAATATTATGAATCATTTCATCAATGTTATAGACAGAATGTCTGAATGGTTATTTGCTTCCCAAATTCATAAGCTGAAATCGAATCCCCAATCTAATAGTATTTAGAGGTGGAGACTTTTGGGGATTAATTAGGTTATCAGGGGATTGGTTTTCATGTTAAGAGAGACTTGACACCCTTTGCTCCTTCTACCCTCTATGAACCAGGAAGTGATTCTCACTAGACACAGAATCCAAATGTATCTTGATCATGGACTTTACAGTCTCTAGAATGGTAAGAGATAAGTATTCTGTAAGCTACCAAGTCTGTGGCATTTTTATTTCAGCAGCTCAAACAGACAAAGGCAATTAATCACATATTCTTTTCCATCCTGGATAAGGAAACTCACAGACAAATTTATGGCTTAACTTTTACAACTATATAGTATAACTTAGACTATCTACATTCTAATATTTCTTCTTCCTTGACCAAGTAGAAGAAGAAAGTTAATAAAACAAAGCAAAAACAATGACAAAAATATTGCATTGTGTAGAGAAAATAATCAGGATTCTATGTATTTAAAGAATCTCCTGCAGCTATCCTAATCCTACAATTAAAAACTTGAGCTTTTAATAGATTTGTTTTTCATTGTTTCTTTGAGAAAAGCCTAATTAAAACTATTACTGAATCATTTGTATCCAACAGATTCAATTCAAAACATCACTAGTAATTTTCAGAATAACCACTTTTATTTCTTTTTGGTTAACCTTTATAAACATTTTCAAAAGCCACAAACTACTAAAAGACAAAACGTGAGTTAAAGAAAAGTAAACTAT